GTACTGTTTGTACCCGGCTCGGGAACCGGTCTGGGTATCGGTTCGGGCCTACCCAACCCGGTTGTATAGCGGTCCGGGCTCGGGCCCTTTAAATAATGAACCGGACCGGCCATAACGGCTATAATCTAAAAAAAAAATATTAAATGGCCTCCTAGCCGTTGGGACTATTCCCAAATGGATCTATAGCCGTTGGAGGCCTAGGAGGAGGGGTCCGGGGGTTTGGGGGGGGGGGGTACCAAAAAATCCTATTTATACTCCTGTTTTCTATACATTTTTTACACCATCTTCATACAATCATACTCTCTAATTCTCTATTCTCTCATACTCAATAACTCAAATACTCAATCTTCTCCATCTTCATCTTCTCCAATTCTCTCTACATATATATTTTATTTATATAATTATTATTATATCTACTTATATATTAATTATCTACTTATATACACATATATTATATTACTAATATTTATTATCTACTTAATATATACTTATTATCTTCTTAATATTTACTTTGATATCTACTTATTATCTATACTTATTGTTATTTACTTATATATATATATATATATATATATATATATATATATATATATATATATATATATATATATATATATATATCTACTTATATATTAATTATCTACTTATATATACATATATTATATTACTAATATTTATTATCTACTTAATATATACTTATTATCTTCTTCATATTTACTTTGATATCTACTTATTATCTATACTTATTGTTATTTACTTATATATATTAAAGTATTAAATATAAGTGTATTACTCATATTATAGTAATATACTTATATATTATATACTATAAACATTATATTATATATTAGTTATTCAATTATATTAGTTACACTTGAATTCATAGTAATTAAATTCATCCTACTTACTTATAAACTCACACTTCCATTAATTATTATACACATTCATTCATTTTTTCTATTACTTACATTTTTTATTAATTGTTACATTTATCATTAAAGTATAAAACTAGTTAATCGTTACATTTTTCATTTCCCCATTAGTTAATTTGTTAATTGTTACATTTCTGATTAAAGTATAAAACAAGTTAATTGTTACATTTGTCATTATAGTATTAGTTAATTAATACTTGTCTCGTTTAATTTTTTAAGATTTATAGTAGTTATTTGTTACATTTCTCATTATCCTATTAGTTAATTAATATTTAATACTTGTTGTGTTTAATACTTTAATACTCAAAGTATTAAAACTAGTTAATTGTTACATTTCTCGTTATCCTATTAGTTAATTAAAATTTAATAATTCTTTCGTTTAATACTTTAAACTTGTTCAAGATTTAAACTACTTCATTGGCTCACTGCTACGTTTTTCAATTATTAAAAAAACTAGTTAATTGTTACATTTTAATATATTCATTGTTATTTTAATAAGCACACTTGTTATTTTAATAAACACTCAAAGTATTTGAATTTCATTACTCCTATTTTAATAAATTAAATACACTTTTATTTTATTTTATTTTATTAAAGTACTTGGAAATTTGCTATAATTTTATTAGTTGCATTTTATTATTACTATTGTACTCACATTAAAATATTTGATATAATTTAATATTTGTAACATTTTAAAGATGGACCGTGGTAGACATTCTGTAGATATGGGTAATCTCCAACGCAACCGAAGGAAGGAGATTGCGACAACTCATCCTAGTTTACGCAAAGGCAAAGGTAAAAGGCGGGCCAGACCTTCTTATCAAAGTGGAGATTATTTTGAAACGGATTACCAACGGCGAGATGGGGATTCGATGTCCGACGAGCAACTACAAGACCTATTGGCGCAAAAATGATGGCCACTTTTTCCATCAACAAAACATCCCGGAGTCCATTGACGAAGAGGAGCTCGAGGATGAGGATGCGGAGGAGGACGCGGGGGGTGACGGGACTCACGGCACCCCGAATGATGAGCAAGAGTTGGAGGACGAGGATGGTTCATCCCAAATTGGTAAGAAATCTAAATCTCCTATTATAGAAAATAAAATAATTTTACAAAGAGGAAAGACAAAAAAAAGAGAGAGAAATGGTACGCAAGTTGCAATCATTGCAATAAGGAGTATAGCTTGGGAACTTCCGGTGGATACGGGAGCCCCACAAGGCATCTTAAGTCCGCGCACTTGGTGAAATATGTGAAAATATCGAAAGACAAGGGGAAGCAAACTCAAATATCGAGGTTTGCAAATGACCAACCTTTTGGTAATTTCTCATACAATGATGCACAAAATTAAACCGGTATGACTAACTTACTTGTTGAAGAAAATTTGCCTTATTTGTTTTCAAAAAGACTTGCTTTTAAAAATTATGCACGAACTTGTTTAAATCCTCGATATAGAGGTTATAGTCGCAAAACGGTTAAGAAAGAAATTATAAGGCTTTATCGTGCGGAAAAGGCAAGGTTACAAAAGTTTTTTGCAAACTTTAATGGGCGTGTTAATATTTGTTCTGACATATGGGAGGATACTTATCATAATTTACATTATTTGGGTCTGACTGCACATTTTATTGATGATGATTGGAATATGCATAAACGTGTTCTTGCTTTTCGTGAATTTAATGATCGTCACACCATTGAACATATTTATATTCTAATTGATCGTATTTTAATTGAGTATAATTTGATTGATAAGGTGTTTGCTATAGGTTTTGATAATGCTACTAATAATACTGCTGTTATACCTAGATTGCGTGAATTGTGTGGTTCTAATAATTTGATAGGTAGATTTTTTCATCAACGATGTGCATGCCATGTTATAAATTTATGTGTGCAAGACGGTCTAAAAGCGTAAGAAGATGCTATGAAGGTAGTCGGGGGGGGGGGGGGGGGGGGGGGGGAGATTAGACGTATTTGGGCTAATGGTCAACTTAAATTAAAATGGAAAAATTATTTGACTGAAAGAGGTGTGAAATATGTTGCATTTCCTAAAGATTTGTTTATTCGTTGGAATAGTACTTATAAATTAATTAAAGTTCTTCTTAGATATAAAGAACATTTTCCTGCTTTTTTAAAACAATATGATAACTATATTTTAAACTCCGATCACATTGACTTGCGAAAAAATTTGTAATGTTTTGATATTTTTAATAATGCAACTGAAAGTTTTAATCATGTTTATAAACCTACCTCAAACCAATTTATTCGTGAAGCTGTTAATCTCGCCGGTGCTTTTAATGAATTTGAGAATGCCGCTTACGTGAGTTATTTTTGTGGTTTTATGAAGGAAAAGTTTTTAAAATATTATGCACATATTCCGCATATTTATGGTATTGCATATATTCTCGATCCTCGTTTTAGACTTGGTAATTTGAAAGAATGTTTCAAGTTCTATTATCTTGCTTTTTTTTGTCCATATCCCATGTATGACGATAAGGCCATCGATCTGTACTTTATTTTATGCCTTATTTAATGAGTTTCATGCACAATATGCCAACGCGCCCCCTCCCCTAACACAAACATCTTTATTTAAAGGAAAATCAATTTTGAAATATGCATTTGGCAATCTTTTGAAAAAAACTAAAACAACTCACGCTACTGAACAAAGTTCAGTTAATGAGATTTTTTTGTATTTAACATATGACGTTGATTTTGATGAAAATGAGGACTTTGACGTTCTAAAGTGGTAGAAGTCAAAAGAAAAAAGAATGTTCCCGATTTTAGCACGGATGGCTAAGCAAATGCTATCAATGCCGATTTCAACAGTTACACAGAACAAGAATTTATTTCGTCCGGCAACGTCCTAACGGCATCTAGAACGAGTTTGAGCGCAGAGTCTCTTGAGACGCTTATATACTACCACGATTGGTTGAAGGCAATACGTAGGACTCAAGGAATTAGCATCACCCTCTCCCAAGACTTTAAGGATGAATCAACAACCGAGGATGACTCTACCTATATCGGAGATTTCGATTGATTAGTATTTTACAATTTATTATAAATGTATTTCATGTTTTAATTTTCCCCTCAATTCTCTATTTTAATCTGTAAACTCGTAGTTCAATTGGTTACAACTTAGAATTAATTATATTATTATTTATTAGAAAATGTATTTCATATTGTTTTTTTTATCCCAATTATCAATTCCTGTTTCACATAAATGCACTTGAAGCTTATTTTTAATATGCAAAAGTTGTATAAATAAGTAGAAAAGGGGGAAAAAATTATAGGCCCGACCAAACCTGGCGGGTGGCCCAGCCTGGGACCCGGGCGAGTGACCCGGCCCGCACCAGAACCGGCCTCAACACGGGCCAGGCTCGGGCTTGCTCCCAAATTCCTTGGCCCGACCGGGCTGGGCCAGCCGGGTCCACACCTACTTTTAATATAGGAGCCTAATTTTATCAATAGTACTACGTACTAATTTTCGTTTGAGTTACTGCATTGAGAATATTTACTACATCTCGGAAATTACTTTCCTATGAAAATATTTAATATTTTTTGAATTGTCTTTTTATGACACATAAGTGATGAATATTAAATATTATGACAATTAGCAATATAGGAAGCAATAATTTAAACTTGGCTAAAGGGTCAAATAGGTACATGAACTAACTTAAAGTGTTCAATTAGCCCCTTATATAGGAGGTTCTGCCCGACCGTTGCCAATTGGGGCGGTTCCCAGTGGAATTTTTTGATGAAGTTTTTTTGAGCATCTTCTTCATTAAGTTTAGTTTACACATACCAAATTTCAGCTAAAAATTCAACCGGGAAGGCAGTCAAATGATTTTTTGAAGATAACTGTACAGTTAAAAAACACAGTACATTTTGGAAAGTCATTTGACTGTCTTCCCGATTTAATTTTTAGCTGAAATTTGATATGGGTAAACTAAACTTAATGAAGAAGATGCTCAAAAAAATTCATCAAAAAGTTCAACCGGGAACCGCCCCAATTGGCGACGGCCGGGCAGAACCTCTTATAAAAGGGATTAATTGAACACTTTACGTTAGTTCATGTACCTATTTGACCTTTTACCCTTTAAACTTTTAATCTATTTTCATAATGTAACCAAATTGCCATTGGATACTTGGCTAATAAGAGGCATCAAACTATCAAAGTTTTGGTGCCAAATACTCCGTAATATAAATCCCAAAATAATACACAGGGGAGCAAGACTCCAAAACTAGATAATCATTCAATCATTAATTGAACTAATTACGTATTTACATTGTATAAATTAAACTAAATATGCCGTCCTCCTCTTAGAGCTATCTTACCAAAATTGAGTGACCTTGTACTGTTACATTAGCAATTTGACGAGTCAAAAGTGAGCAACTTCTGGTCTGACGCGATCATTAATTTTGCCGTAGAAGAACCTACAATTCTTTGGAGCTGAATAAATGCAATTGGACAAGTGAGTTTTTCTTCATTTTTAAGTCAGATTGAGATAAGATAGAAAGGATTAAAGCTGAGGTTTGATTATACCTTCAATAGGTCAAAAGGAGAAAACAAAATCCTGCAAGTTGGGCCTTCTAGCATATTGAGTACCTGGAAATGGAAAAGAAACAAATAAAGATTGGTTTTTTAAACTAGGAACAAGAGAGAAATATGACCAAAAAACAATGTGCAAACTATGCCGACCTCAACAAAAAGTTCTTTCCTCTCTGGAAGCGAATAAATGATCAAGTTTTGGATGCCGCGAATCTATACCAAACAAGAATTGAACCCAAAAGATAAATCCAGTTAAAATAAAAACTTCACAGAAAAATATAAAAACTTATATAGAAAAATAAGTCACTTAAAATAAAAACTTATATAGAAAAATATTTTGGGACCAAGGCTTGGGAGTTGTATAGTACAGAAGAAAATAAGAACCTTGTATCTGTAATAGAAGTGAAATCTCTCTGTGTAAAGCATGATTTTTTTCTTTCCAGTGAAGAACAAACCTCGTACATGAGAAATATTCCTGGGCATGGTTTCCCTAGATTCCATGAGGAAACAAAACTAAGTGATGCTTCTAAATAAATACTGCAGAGATAATATTTCACATTAAAGTGTTTAGAAATAAAATGAACATAGAACACAAGATAGTTTCATACTCTCCCAGCCGACAAAATGACGCCTCTTGTGACTTGAGGAACTTCGCGATTCGCAAGTAGTCAAAGGAACAACTAAAGAAGATCATTATGCCACCCTGTATTTAGCAATTCTTACATTAATGCCAAAACTAACACAGCTAATGAGGATGAAATGTTTTCCAAACCCGATAAAAGATACCTGCGTTGAATCTTTTATCTTTGGAAACACCTGCAAAAATAACCATAGTTTCTGGTCTCAAATAGTAAACCCTAAAAAGTCGATCTATTCAAATAGTTAAATCACACTCCCTCCATCCCAAAAACAACCTCAAAGTTTGAATTACACAAATATTTATGCAAGATAAAGATTTGCTTTGAATTTCTATCTATGCACTTACTTTATATTAATCAAGTAAAAAGCAAGTAAAAAGTAAGGGTGCTTGTAACATTTGCTATTGAATGTGCATCTATTTGGGGACATCCAAATAAGGAAAGTGGGAAGTTATTTTTGAGAAGAATGTAGTATAGTCCAATGAGCAAAATGAGAGATCAATGACTAACCGTTTTAGTGAAATATTCAAAACGAGAATCATCGGCATTTTCTATTGTCTTCGTATCAAAACGTTCATAAATCTGTAGGGTTGAGAAGTAGGGGGGAAGTGAGATACAAATATTATAAGGTATCAATGTAGCTTAGAGGTCTACTTGACCTTATGTGATAGATACAACCACAACAAATCATACTAAAGATAGTTGAAACACCTGGCTTATTTTAAGTACTTCTGATAAAACTCCCTTGTATTCACAAACTGATTTAACCTGCAAAAGTAATTCCTAAATTGAAAATTCTTTCAACAGGAAATAATATGAATTAAACAAATTTGGTATACCATTTAAATGTGTTCATTTTATTTTTCCTTGCTAGATTCTTAATAATGCTTTTTAATAATGCTTTGGAATATGATGTGCAATAAAGCAAAATGGCTCATTAAAATGTTTGCACTTCTTCTATGTTATAAAGCAACATTCAATCTATGCAATTTTCAACGCGATTTTCACTATGGGTCATCCGTAAAGAGTCTCTTTGTACTTTAGTACAAGGGTAAGGCTGCGTACATCTGACCCCCCTACCGCCTTTGCGGCATTGGGGTAATGATGAAGAAGAAGCTTCTTCATAAGACTGCCTGCAACCCAGGAGTGAATAACCCAATTTTAAGCTTTTCACCCTAAAAGTTTCTACAACCCATGTATTTTGGGGTGCCAAAATGGGTGTATGGCACCCACGGGGTGGGATATCTGTAGGCTTATTCACGGAGCCTTTGTCTATGTGGCTGTACGAATGGAAGAGAAGAAATAAGAGCTTCTGGTTGATCACATGAAACATACGTAGTGGGTCTACATAAAATTTAAATATCAGTTTTTTAAAAAGTGTAATAAGTCTTTTATTTATATTTTATATTTTTATAAATAATACATCAAAATTCATAAATTTTAATTATCTTTCAAATGACACCAATATTGTATATATGCAAATATATTTTTTTTCATCTTTTACCTATTTTTTCTAAAATAAGTCTGAAATAACATTTAAAAAATTAAATACCAAATTTATGTATTTTTACATCTGGAATGTTTGACTTTTTAAATAATGATTATTCGTAAAAAAAAAATTGAAAAACATTAATTAATATTAATAAAAGTAATATTTTAATTTGAATACTTTGTTGGATGAATATATTGACGGAACTGGATTGCAGTGAAAACTGAATTGATTGAGTGAATACGTATAAAAAGGTGTGGAATTTGATTTATTGACGGAACTGGATTGCGGTTAGCCTAATGCATGACAAATTTTTGGAAGAATCCAAAAATCTCAGAAGTAAACTATCCTTCAAGAAATTTAACTATTTTCCTACAGCCAAATAAATATCACCAAAATATGACCATAATTAATGGCAACAAAATATTACAACAATGTTTAATATACAAACCTTTCCCTCGTAGTTAAGGCAGTGATGGTTGAATAGAGCATTAATGTCTGCAAAAGGGTTCAAATAAATAAGACCAGTTAACCGCTATTACTACAAAAGTTTTAGGCTAAAGGGTCAAATAGACCCTTGAACTGACTTAAAGTGTTCAATTAGCCCCTTATATAGGAGGTTCTGCCCGGCCGTCGCTGATTGGGGCTGTTCTCGGTGGAATTTTTTGATGAAATTTTTTGAGCATCTTCTTCATTAAGTCTAGTTTACTCATACCAAATTTCAGCTAAAAATTCAACCGGAAAGGCATTCAAATGATTTTCCGAAATGTACCGCATTGTTTAACTTCACAGTTATCTTCAAAAAATCATTTGACTGCCTTCCCGATTGAATTTTTAGCTGAAATTTGGTATGGGTAAACTAGACTTAACGAAAAAGATGCTCAAAACCTTTCATTAAAAAATTCCACCGGGAACTGCCCCAATTGGCGACGGCCAGGCAGAACCTCCTATATAAGGGGCTAATTGAACACTTTAAGTCAGCTCAGGGGCCTATTTGACCCTTTAGCCAAAGTTTTAATATCTTAGGTGACAGATTTTCATTAAAACCATCATTGCAGATTTCTCACACTGGTTTGAGTGTGAACTGAAGACCATTGTTTGCCTGTAGAATGGTGCTTGTCCATCTAAGTACCTACAGTAGTCAGTTGAAAGAAAATAAAAAGCCCAGGAGATGATATGATCAATCTGTATTCTGTAACATAGTATCCCTTCCATTCCAAAACATAAGCTTCAGGAAAACTATCATATAGGTCCTTGTACTGCAACTAAAATGGCGATTAGCCTGTTTTCTTTATGTTATCCGATACCCTTCGCATATGTGGCTATCATTTTTTTTCAACCAATGAATTGTTGCTTATCATTTTCTTTTTCTATCTTTTTTCAACCAAAGGTGATTAAGCCCTTGTACTACAGTGGTGAGATACACGTGGACCTTCCACAGAGCTATAATCTCATATAGTATGAGACTATGAGGGCCTATCTAATAGTTTTTCCAATACGTTTTTTTGAGGGTTAAACTTTGTTCCAAAATATAAGTAGTTTCACTACGAATGTATCATTTATTAATCTATTCCAAATTTGCCCTTCTTTGATGATGAGAGATATAAACTTATTTGATCATAAATGTGGTTCCTAGAAAGAGGTATTTTAGTCTACTTGTTCAAGGAGGGTAAAAAGTTCTATAATTTGGAACAGAGTAAGTAATCTGTAAGTGCAATTTGTGAGGGTAAGAGACCTCATGATACAGCAGAAATGGGCAAATGAGAGGATTCGGGAAAGCAATATGATGAAGACAATATGGGGCTCATAGACATACCATTGCCTTATGCGCATAATATCTGTTCCATGCTGCTGAGAAGGCATCTGGTTCAATTTCTCAACAACATCAATTAAGTATGTCCAATTCTGTCAAATTTTGTTCAAAATAAGATATGGAATACAAATCAAGGAAAAGGCCAGAAACACATATCCAAAAGAAACCAAACACATAATCTTGTTCGGAACATGCCTGCATTAATATGATATCTGCATGATCTATAATTAGAACCTGCTTTTCAAAAAAAAAAAACAGAAAAGATGAAAGACAAGAAAAGAAAAGATAACTGCTTAGTATTTAACAAGGTGCAAACACCACTATTACTCTATTAGTGTTTAAACAAACCTAAAGTAAGTGATTAGCATTAGTAAGAACCAAGAAAGATACTTTACAAATTTTATCACTGCAATCCCAAAGAAGGTTATAAATATGAATACCTCAATAGAAGAAAGATAATCCACATCTTTATCTTTCCTTCGTTCAGCCTCATGAATTTTCTGAAATAAAATAAGATATCTAATCAAATTGCATATAAGTTACAAAGCATGTTTGTTTATTAAAACAACTGGATAAGGAATGGTGCACATAAGTATATAAGGAATGAGATTTGTGTAATTGTGTTGGTTGTTTTCTGGGGGGAATTGAAAAAATGAATTTTATTTAATTGGATATGCATGAAATTGCAAGTATAGTAAAAAAAATTAAAAAAGTGACAGGGTAATCAAGCATTAAAATAATACAACAGAATACAGATCATTTAATTGTTTAATTGTGGGAACTTATTATAAAAGAAGATACATAAAGGAAAGCTTACAGTTTCCAATCCAAGAGGAGATGCAATGATCATATCTGAAGAGTGGAAATCACCATATAATCTTATACTCCTCCTACAATATTTAGATAAATGCAAAACTAAGTTCATCCAAAAATAGATAAATGCAAAGAACAATGTCGGTGAATAAAAGGGTGGATATCGGAAGTAAAGAGGGACAAGGGCCACTTCACTCGGTACTACATAGTATATCATTAGTCTGAATGAAAGAATTGATAATATCCAACCTTGCTTCTCTTTATATTTCCCCCCAAAAAAGAGGGTTAAGCCTTGAAAAAGAATTAGTAAAAGAGAAAAATACCTGTTGAACTTCATACCAAGCATGAAACGGTCATTGTCATTCCCTCCAAACAATGCTTTGAAGTCGGGAGGTTTAGAGGTCTTTCTTGACTTTAAGCCTTCTCTAACATCTTCATCCTCATCATCAGTCACTTCACTTCCAAACTCTTGAAAAAAACGCTCAAGATTCTCAATGTTAGCCTGAGGAAACCAACAACATAAAAATAAGTTAGGGCTGACAACAGTAAAATTAGGGACGCCCAAATAAGAACAAGCAAACCCGATGATTAAAACTCATGTCACTTGGAGTCTTTCCATTAAAAGAATATAATAAGTAAATTAAGAGTATAACATCATCTTGGTTCTTGGATGTAGTGGGGGATTAATCTAAATGCTATTACAAAAGGCTGCACGCCTGCACATGATCAATATAGATAGTATATCCCAAGAGAATTCCATCCCAAAGCATTAGATGCATTTCAAATTCCACTTGTCAAAGCCGCTATCTTCTCTTCACAAATTTGCTTTAATAATTTTTAATAAGTAATTGTGCAAACCACAGACAACGTATTATTTAATAGAAATTTAGATATAGTTTCTAAATGTATAAATTTACTTACAAATAAATAAAATAATAAATTAAACTGAATAGTAAATAGCTTGAGTCAATGTCTCATAATCCAAATGTGCTTTATTAACGAGACAGAGGGAATATTGCAGTATTATAGTGTGTTTAGAAAATTCTAAACATGATGAGATGACAGGTAGAAGAGCCCCCTAATAAAGACTGCATCCGAAACTGCATCTGAAATCCATTCCTACTCTGCTACTGAGCTCGGAGTCTCGGTCGGACACATGAATTAATGTAAAAAGGCAAACAGCCACAATGGTTTTCTATTGATATTTAGTATTTGTATCACACCATTTGGTTTTAAAAGTCAAGCAACTTCAGTTTCTAAAAATACTAAATTCAATATGACAAACATATCTAAAATGGAAGAACCATGGTGGTTTAATATTATAAAAACCAGTGCTCTTGAGTGTATAAAGTTCCTAGCTTTCCCCTTCATGAGAAGTGAGTTTTAACAGGATCGAATGAGTACAATAAGTTTTTCATTGCATAATTCGGACTACTTAGCGTACCTTGTATTTTGGGGGTGTCAACTTGATCAGCCTTTGAACTACCAGAAGTGCAATGCTTGCTATTGGCAGAAGGATCAAAACCTAAACCACACACTACAACGGATCAAAGCTAGTCGAATGAAAATCATAGTACTGTATGCAAGGGGATAAGAAATTCAAGTTACGAAGTACTACCTGTCTACCTCCGTCCCATTAATATTGGGACATGAGGAGGCGGTACGGTTATTAAAAACATTGTTTGTAATTGCGCAATGCAATTGCGCCTCATGGCGCGCCTCAGCTAATTCCTAGACTATTGCGTAAAAGGCATTGCATATGGCGCTGGGAGTGTGACGTACGCAATATTGCACTGAGGCGTACGCAATATTGGATACGCAATAAGACGCTCTGAGGCGTACGCAATAGGAGGTCAAGGTGTAAGGGTATTATTTGGGTCCACTCGGCCCACTTTTAAATTTTTATAATTGATCTCATGATCCCTATTTCAAAGCAGCAGTTATTGATTGGATTTTTCAGTCAATGAATCTAATTAATTTAAATTTTCATATCTAAGATTTTTGTTTTGATAAATGATTCAGAATGTTTTGGAATTCTATGGTACTTTGAAGTTTTAACATGTCACTTTGCTAGGATTATAGCCTCTTGTGGTTGTTTTAATATAACATTTGATGACTTTTGATGAATATGTTTATTTTTTTTTATTATGTTTATATATATATATATATATATATATATATATATATATATATAAAATATTTCGCCTCAAGTATACGCCTCATTGCGCAATGAGGCTTACGCAATATGCAATATTAAGAAAACGCCACGACTACGCAATACGCAATTTTGAACCTTGATTAAAAAAACTGGGTTTATGTGGTTGATGTTGAATTGATAGAGTAAGAATAAAGTAAGAATGATTTAGAAACCACACAAACATTCCCAAATTTGGGATGAGACAATTTTAGTGGGACGGACTGAAAAAGAAAGATGAGACAATCTTAGTGGGACAGAAGGATCAAATTTTGGAATAATTTCAGCAGGGTGAAACTACTATGGAAATTAAAGTTTTAATGTAGAGATACTATTGAGGCATAAAATAAATGTCAAAATGTATCTTCAGTTCTTCACTTTAGAAAAACAAACTGCATTGCTGGTTAAGAACACAAAAGGCATACCTTAGGTCGAGTAAACCCATGATCAAGAAAAGCTTCATCATTAATAGTTTCCACATTCATGTTTCCTTGTAGCTTAGTCAGTTTTGCTTTGTTTTTCTTCAAAAGATCCCTAGTCTTGAATACGTGATTTAGCTGCAAAACAGTATATCTTTGGCTTATCAAAGGATGTGCATAAAAATCTAAACTTCAAAAACAAAAAATACTCCATAAATGATGGCTACAATGGATAAGAATATATTACCGAATGCATGACATATGCATCCATGATATTGGCATCTTCTTCCCGCCCTTTGAGATAGAAGGGCTTCTTGTTATCATGCAATACATCTCGGTAGCTGCTGCCTAAAAATTAGAATAATAATGTGCAGTTACAACACTGGATAACAAAAAATAGAAGCCAATCATAGAAAAAAATTGTTATAAAATCATCCTTTTTTGAAAAAATAAATGATCATGGACACCGAAATAACGTACAAAAACAAAAGAATGAAGTAAAAACCTCAAAATATAAAGTAAACTTCTATATATTACATAAGGTAACATTTAAATATGATGGAGACTAAAATTATACGGTAGGTTTTCTTCTATCTATTAAAGTTTATGATAGTAACAACAACCTCCAAGCCTTATTCCCAAGAGGTTTTAGTTTCGGCTAATATTTACAGTAGTAACAATGTTAAAAAATTATTTTACAACAAATGGGAGAAACATTGTTTTTCTAAAAACCAAATAGACAAACTACTAAAACTTCTTTGACTCCTGTCATAAAAAAACAATCAACAGGTAGCTAAAAATTCATAATTTTAGAACCAATTATGATGTTGATAATGAAGCAACAAAAACATATACCCACGCCAAGTTAGTTAAGCATCACTCACAAATGGAGAAGAATGATCTCTGCCTAGAAGAGTGAAAATCTTGGCCGCCAGACTCCTTATAACTGTCCAACCAATGTTTATAGAACAATGGTTTGAGACCATAACAAGGATACATGTCTAGTTCCTGCACACAGCATAGAAGGGGAAGCAATGTAGAACCTTAGCAAATAAAAAAATTACATAAAAAAAGAAGAAGAAAAACTCTACAAAAACATGTTGCAAACTTGCAATGTAAGACATATTACTTTAATGCTCTACTAAAATATTCTTATAGCTTTCTCTCTCTCTGAGGCTTTAATCAGATCTACTCATTAGCATAAACTTGTAGGCGTGTTTTTTCTCTATTGGGAAATATATTTACACATTGTTAGTAATTAGTATGATCAAGTACACTAATAAGGTTTTCCTTTGCAACCCACAAAATAACCACACTATTGATCTATTTGAGATGAGAGAGTTTTGAACTTTTGATTGCGGTGATTTAGCCATGTGGGTAGAAGACCGAGTGATGCACCCGTTAGACGAATTGAAACGTGGGGAAGAAGGCAAAGTAGAGAGGCAGAGGACGACCTAGACAGACGTGGAGTAGAATGATGAAGAATGAAATGGCATCTCTTGGATTGGATGAGAGTCTGATATTGGATAGAGCAAAGTGACGAGAGAATGTTCAGTTAGAGAGATGATTGGTTTTTGTTTTGTTTTCCTTTTTTGTTTCTTCTTTCTCTCTTTCTCTCTTTGTTTTTCTTCTTCTTCTTCTTCTTGTATTAATATTTAATTAATTTAATTAATTTATATATATTGATTTATTGATATACATTTATTTATTTAGATTTTTAAATTATTTTAATATATTTTATTATTATTATTATATTATTATTATTATGTCAGTTCATGTTTGCCGACCACAAATTCTTTTGGAATTAAGGCTTAGTTATTGTTGGTGCTGTTGTTGTTGCATAATTTGATCGAATAAACAGAGGCATGAGTGTTACCAGTAGAAAGATTTCCTCAATTGAACATAATAAATTTATGTTCAATAAATTTCAGCAGAAAAGGAAAAGAGTGAATAAATATATAAACTAATTTAATACTGATAAATTATGTTCTCGAGTTTTATCACAAACTCTTCTACATGGAATTTTGCAAGAATAATTTCCAAACAAAGGCACCTTTACACATAAAGGAGGCACATAATTGCAGGCAAAAGATGAGATACCTTCAGAAAGCATTCCCCTGTGCCCCCCCACTTCCAATTGGAAAACTCTAGCTCCCACTGGTATTTCCACTTCTTTTCCAGCAGCGTATTAACCTCTTCTTTTGATAACTTGTAGTCCAAATGTTTCTGAAAGCTGCTACCAGTATAAAAATCATGCTAAGGAGTTTAATAAGGGCATACATTTTTAATCTAATACGAGTAGTTTTTTGCAACAAAATCACACTAATGATGGACATAAAGAAAGTATGATTAGAACAAAACAAAAAACATACCATCATGTTACATTAAAGAACTCCCAAACATTAAATTAAATTGAAGTAGGAAACACATAACTCAACCAGTTGCTTAGACCCAAATAACAATGCAAAGAATAGAAATAAAATAAGAAAAATTGAAAATAATAATCCCAACTATTGCCGGTCCGCTAACAATAATCCCAACTATTGATTATTTTTGTATAATCCCAACTATATGGACTGTCCGCCAATAATAGTCCATGACCATATATTACCTCCTATAACAAGTGAATTTTAAATAGAAATTAAGCGTAAAAATTAAAATTTGGGATTAATTATAGAGATTACTTGTTATGTATCTTCTCATCCACTTCAGAAACTACATAATTTTATTTATAGGGACCATTATTGGCGGAAGGTCCCTAAAGTTGGGATTATTCTGAAATAATCGATAGTTGGGATTATTATGAGCGGACCGCCAATAATTGAGATTATTACTATCAATATTTCCAATAAAATAACCATTTATGAGAGAAATAAGATTTGTAAAAAAACGTAGACAATCAACCAATTGTGCCACACATGGAAAAAAAATAATTAGTCCAACCTTTCCAAAAAATGTTGCTTTTTGAAAGGAAAAATAAATCATAATTTCTATTACATAGATCATTAAGAAAGTAACGAGCCAGCAATCATAGATGTTAGAATACAGAACTGACATGGTGCTTAATTCTAGAGATATTAGATTGATATGATCCTGAATGTAGGATCACAAGTGATTTCCTCTAATACGAACCCGGACAGATTAATAATAATAAGATGATAGGGACCCGAGTAAAATAGTGTTAATAATAGTAATATTAAGAGTAATGAATAGAAGTTATGTAATGAATAAGAGTTAGGCAAAATTTCAGTTGGGATTAAGCGGGAGAGTGAGGCCCCTGGAAGAGGCAAAATTCCATTGTACTCGGAGGATCGATTCCTAAGATTTTTATCAATTGAACAATAAATTTATGTTGCATTGGTGAGGTCTCTCATCTTCAAACTTGTTTCTTTCATTAATTGTATAGTGTACAACATATATACACACACACACACACACACACACATATATATAGGTACAACAATGTATTCAGAAGCAATGAAAAGGAAATGTTTCTACGCTCATTTTCTCTACAATAGAAATAAGTTAATAGAATGAATGAGCCTAGATCTCTACAAGAGTATCTCATGATGTAATCTAATTTTGTTATTTCTTTTAAATCACTAAGGGGGTCCACACTTCACAGACAAAAGGGGGTGAAATATTCAATTACACATTAGACTGCAGGATATCAAATGCAACTAAAATATTTGATCATTACACTGGTCAAAACAACTAACGATAACAGAATAATGTAAATAGAAGAGAAAACATATGAAATAGTGTACCGTGTATTCATCAGTGGTTCTACAACAGACTGACTATTTACTCTCCCATCATGTATTTCATCTGTATCTGATGCCTCCAAATCAGTATCATCTTCCAAATCATATCCTTGGTGGTCATCTCCAACATCAATAGGTCTTGAATACTCACCATGGCATTCTACCATTTGGAAAAGAAAATACAACACAGATTGAAATACTTAAAAATGAACATGGGCATCCTATTCTTCAATTTCCAATATCAAAACTACCCCTAAAAAACAACTCTCACTTGGCCATTTAAGATGGTGACGGAAGGAAATGGGATTTTAAGATAAATAAAAATGAAGGATGAAAAACAAAAGAAGAAAGTCCTCCAAAGGTGATAGTTGAAAACTATAGTATATTTCAAAGATTTTCATCAGAATCTGTAGGTTCCCTACCTTCTTCTTTTCCTCCATATCCATCGGATGATTCCTGACCATCATCGAAATCCTCTCCCAAATCAACTGTATGTGCTTCTGTTTGCCTATTCAATTAAAAGAAATTAGGAAGGCATTACTAGTAAAAAATGCAATCTTAATTCTTAATTGCTAGCTTTAATTTAGCTCTGTAACAATTGCCTAAAGAAGCAAAAATACATGCAACTCAGAGACATTGAAAATTAACACCCGGATTGGGAAAATTAACAATTATGTAGCCTTTATTATTCTTTAACATTCATGGATTTTTAAATTCAACCAACCACACAGTGAAAATAAGTCAAATACAAAATATTTAAAAAACTAAAAAATATATTTAAAAAACCATCACAAACACTGGCCCAAAACTTTGAGGGCTACCTCCATATTAAATTGAGTCCACGATAAAACTAAACATGAATCCATGAATATAGTTGATTCTATTTAAATTAGACTAATCTCATGACCATTGCAAAACTTCATAATGAAATAAAGTCAGAATTAGTACCTCAACGACAACAATAACTTAGCATACATTGTGGGCTCTTCATTATTGAATAGTTTTGCTCCTGCCAAAACAAAACAAAAAACAAATCTGTAAGACAAAATACAGAGTTATAATAAGCTCAAGGTCATAGTGCCATGGCAAGGAGAATTTTATCAACTAGCCTGAGAATTTTGACAATGGCCTTTCTTTAATCTTCTCATCTCTGTCAAATCGTGGAGTCTTTACATTTTGGCACTTCCGTAAAGGCACTTGGTTATTGCATCTTTTTACACCTAAAACTTTGCAATTTGAAGATACAAAAAAGAAAAGGAGAAACTCACAAATTAAATGGGAAAATCAGGAAAACACAACCACATTAACTCTAAAATTGAAAATGTCAACTCTCTCGGAAATGACAATCAAATAGCAGCGATTTTACCTGTTTGTTTTCCCATATTTTATTCTAAGTAAGGTTCAGCCAAGCTTATTTGTGGTGAAAAGCGAACAAAAGCAGTACGGATGAGCTTTCAATCAAAAGCACTGAGGGAGGCGTTGCTTTCTCCAAAAAGTGATGCCTAAAAGAAAGAATAAGTTTAAAATATGTAATGCATAAATATGCTAAAAACACTACCAGTCTACATCATCATCCATCATCACTATTAAATTCGACTTTTAATCAACACCCACGTAATACTCTACACCCACTACCAGTCTAAATATGGAGCTATGGGCTATGTACGAATTTATGAAGCGAAGAAGAGCAGAGGTCAAGCGAGACCGGGTAAGGGGAACGATTTCAGAGTCTGGGAGTTACCGAAAGCTGCTGAGACCTGCTCACCAAGATGACAACGTTTGCTGAAGCCGGCGAAGGGCTGAAAAAGACTTTGGGAGTTCTGTGCGTTCGTCTGCTTCCTGCCAATTTGCGTCTCTAGACTCTCTAAGTCTTGAGGATCTTCTACGATGGGCTTTGTTTTTAATAAAAAAAAAACCTACAGTCTTAAACAGGCGACTGCGGTTAGACTGGCCAAAAATCAGCGACGCCTTCACACCTCGACGATGATTGGACGATGCCAGGGTTGAAGAATGAAGACGAGAGGTTTAATTCTAGATATATTTCCCAAACTCTGTTTTGTATGAGGAAACTCGTTTCCAACTTTGGCAAAATTAAAAAACGGGCCGGATACGCGTTTCCAATGTTCGGATGCGGGAAACTCACCCCCTGTCCCTCTATTATTTTAGTATTTTACTACGTACGGGCTCTGTTAGTTTATTCGCGTATAATTCGCGTATAATACACTCGAACGTACAATTCACGTATAATACTCCCGTTTATGAATTTTTCAAAATTTTTTGAAAAATTCACGTACTTTAAGGATAAAATGTATAATGCACGTACCGTACGTATTGATACGTATTTTATTACGTATAATACTCCTGTTTATGTATTTTTCAGAAAATTCTGAAAAACTCACGTGCTTTAAGGATAAAATGTATAATACACGTACTGTACGTATTGATACGTATTTTATGGAAAAAAAAACACCATTAAACGGAAGCCTAATGGAGTGATACAACTGAAACAAAATGCATGTCAAGCTAATGAATATTATTTATATTGCTTAAAAAACGTTATGCCTTATATGTTCGCTAATTGTTTAACGGTCATTACATTTAATGAATTAGCTTCTTAAATTTGTAATCTGTTTCGATATTTCTATTGTACTACTACTGTATTACTTTTGTTCTCCACCCATATACCAAGACTCCAAAGAGATTGAAAAATGTTGTGGCGGCTCACTAAACTCATGGTCAAAGTAATATCAACTATTTTCTAGTAATATCTCTTCATTTCTACTTAAATAGGCAATGTCATTTTTATTACGTATTGTACCTATGCATTTAAATACGTAAATCTCAAAAAAAAAAAAAACTATTCCGTACATTTTAAATTGTTGAAGATTGTGGTGCAAATGTTAAATAACTCTTTATTTCTATCATTAAATAAGTACTTCGTATATAAAACACATATTATATGCCGTATTTTTAAATTGTGAAACGTTTAAAACACGTCCGTATCTTTATATATTTCACGAACGTATGAAACATATATTAAGCCGTATTTTATATAATTGTATCGTATTATACACGAACGTCCGTATTATTGTATTATTCACTTACCGTATATTACTAACAAAGCGTACGGGGTATTTTGTTACTCTCCTCGTCCATTTTCCGTCTTATTTAAAGGTTTTTGTTCTTAATCTTTTATCTTTTATTGTATATATTCAATTTTTATTAAATTTAATTTTTTATATAGAATTTTTAATGTAGTTTTTGAATATGTATATTTTATTTAGTAAAAATAAATCTACTAATGACAGAGATTTAGCTTTATGGTCAGTCAAACATCGTAAATCGTATGAGAACCTTTAAGTGAGACGAAAAGAATATTATTGTTTGATTGTTGTTTAAACGTTTGAAGGACGATAAAGTAAACGGAACACTCAATTAGTTTTAAGAAAAAAATTACATATTCAAAAGTTGCATTAAAAAATTTACAAAATCTCAAAAATCAGAATCAAATTTGTTAAAAATTTGATCTATAGAGTAAGAGATTAAGAATGGTTTGAATTAATCAAGTGAACAAGAACTGGAATAATAATAGGGAGATTGTAGGGGTAGATATTAAGAGAAAATTAACCAAAAAGCATCAAACAAACATACAATGAAACCGCATGAGCAGAGGAAGGAAGAGAAGGCAGTACCGTAGAAGAGATGCTTTTCTTAGATGAAGAATGAGATGAATAAGGAAGAAGGTGCAGCGGCAGCGTGAAGGACTTGCGTACAGATTGATTGTGGTTTTGTATTTTATTAAAGGAAAATGATGTTTGTACCCACTTTTATACCAACTTTTGTACTCACCCATGTTTGTGAAGTTATTTTTTTTGTCTGTGAATTCCTTAACAGACAAAATATGTCTGTGAAGAATTCAAAGAAATATTTTGTCTGTGAACCGGCTTCATAGACAAAAAAATAACCTTCACGGAGGTGGGTATAAGGTGGATACAAAGTGATGGATACAACAAGCGTGGTTTATTAAATAGTGGGCCTACTTGGCCCAAAATAAACATTAAAAATCAGACCTGAAAGAGTGAACGCCACCGCAAGCCTTATTGTGTAAGGGAATGTTTGCAATAGTTTAAAAAAACACTTCTCAACTTTTGGCTTAAAAAAGCACTTATTTACCAAATACTACTAATTTTTACTTTTTCACGCCTTGCGTGTGAGAAGTGTTTTTCCCTTTTCTATTACACAAAAAACACGTATTTTACCAAACATTACCGACTTTTACTTTTGGGAAAATTGTCAAATAGGTCCTCGAACTTTCATAAAAAGGTCAATTAAGTCCTTCTAGAGGATGTTATGTCCGGCCGTCACGATTTGGGCAGTTCCCGGTGAAATTTTTTGATGAAATGTTTTGAGCAACTTATTCACCAAGTCTAGTTTACTCATACCAAATTGCAGCTAAAAATTCAATCAGGAATACATTCAAATTAATTCTTGAAGATAACTGCGCATTTTTGCATTCTCGAATTAATTTGAATGCGCTCCCGATTAAATTTTTAGCTGCAATTTGGTACGAGTAAACTAGACTTGATGAATAAGATGCTCAAAAAAATTCATCAAAAAATTCCACCAGGAACCGCCCCAAATCGTGACGACCGGACAGAGTCTCCTGTTGAAGGACTTAATTGACTTTTTTATGAAAGGTCGAGGACCTATTTGACAGTTTTCCCTTTACTTTTCAAAATCACTTTTTTCTCAAGCACTATCAACTTTTACTACTTATCACTTTTTCTCAATTACTCCAAAAGTGCTTTTTTAAGCACAAGCACTTGCAAACACTCCATAAGACTAATTCGATACAAAAATCGCAGGTCAGACTGGATAATACTGGTTCAGGACAGGTTAGGGCAGGGTTCTAACTTTGAAATACACAAACGGGGCGGGGCAGGTGGGTTCTAAAAAATTTAGGAATCATATGGGTATTACAAATTGAAAAAACGGGTACCTAGACCGACTCATTTCAAGAAATATATATATTTAAAATGAGTATTATATTTAATACTCCGTATAATATAATAATAACACCCAAAAAAAATCATATTCATGAATTATTAAAAAGTTTTTCTAAGTTCATATAAACTGCTAAATTATTATTCTCATTTCTTTATTCCAAATGCATCAAACTTTCTTTGTTGTTTTTAAAAAGACTCTTTCTCAATAAAGTGTGACATACTAATTTAATTAGCATAATTTTACTCACATTTAGATATTTATTAAGTTTTAAATATTAAACATGTATGTACAATGACTAGTCTAATTTCTTATGACTTGTGTTGTTGTCCTTTTAGTTTATGTATGATGATGTCTAATTTTCTGGATTTTAAAGTTTGGTGTTATTTAATTTGTGTAGTTGTTTGTTATTTAATTTATATATTTGTGGTTAGATATTTTGTTAACTAATTCAAAACTTCATTTGTTATTTTTATTTTGAATTTTTATATAATATGGTGCATTGATACATAATTAGTTTAAAATTTTAGTACATGCTGGATATTTTGTTTGTGTAGCAGTATTTTTTAACTGTGAATCTGGACCAAATCGACCCGTTTCAAACGAGGTGGGTAAGGTCCGGTTCCTATTTTGAGATTTAGTATACACGGATCAAACCTACCCATTATATCGAACCGCGGGTTCTTGAAAATTTATCAATTACCCGGATCATTCCGGACCGTGCCCACCCCTAATTAGAAATGAAATTGTACGCCATATATCCATGGAATAAGCTTAGGCACGCAATAAGAGCATCTTTAGTGGCGCTATCAATTGGTCAAAATGCAAAGCCACGTAATTTAAATAGACATTGGGATAAGAAAATCCTCTCCAATGGCAATGTCTATTTATATAGTGGTGCTGAGTTGGAAATGAAAAAAACCGACATTCGCTATTGCTCTTTCTCATTCTAGCAGGTCTTTTAGACATGCTGACTCAGCAAAAATTAATTAGTTTCGTATCTTGGAGAAGGAAACCCGCCGTATGCCAACGATTTCTCTGCAACTTTCTTCAATGCTCAAATTGAAGCATCCATGTCATTGATAGGAAATTAATCGGCTAAAGCCAATTCCACTTCATTCACAAAAGTTCAATTTAGGAAATCTACACATCTGAACCCAATTTCACATTCGTAGTTCGTATAAACATAGATGATGTATATATATATAAACCTAATTCCTGCTAACTTCAATCTGGAGTGGCACAACCGCACAAATATGTTCACACATCTCTTTTTTCCTTTGGAGAAGAAGATATTTGAAAGAAAAGTTATGCTCCGTAATAGCCTATGACAATTTCATAAACGGAAGATGTGGTGTGGATATAAATTCATTCTTTAATTTAGGATTGCATTGGAGCACAAATAATATTTTCAATGTCTGTGTGACCACGTCAGCTTCACGGGCCTTCTACATAAATGACATGTCCATCTTTTACAAGATACAATCCACGATACCATTAAAGATGCTCTAAGGCGGTCAGGCATTGAGCAATTACAAACGTTGGAAACAGGAGTAAAAAAGTTTTAGAATTTAAAAATATGATTGTCATGTTTTTATTCCTAAAATAGGAGTAATTGACTAATTGTTGTCAAGCTTGGAAAATATCATTATGTTTAAAGTATGGTACTGCCAAAAAATTTTACTAATTAGTCCTATTTTGGAATATAAAAACGTGTTTAGTCCTATTTAGTGAGTATAAAACAGTACTAAATGAGCATACATAACTTACAAATGAGTATCAAAAATTTAAAACGCATTTTTGTGTGCTCAATCATTTTGAACGTTATACTCATTTGAATTTAACATAAAACTCGTTTCTATTATGATCAATATGTGCTCAATATTCATTTGTGTATTGATATGACATTTTAAAATGAGCATAAAACGAATATTAAATGAGCATACGTAACTTACAAAAAGAGATATAGAAAAACAAAACATTAATATCTAGAAATAATTATTCTAGGTATGACTAAAACTCTTCTACTTTCCCAATCTATGACCTAACAAGTTTTTTCCCCAAAATAATATTTATATATATAATAATTAATTAATTTCGTAATTAATAATTAAATAATTAATTTTTATGGACTAATATACCCTTTACGTTATGCCTATAAAACCCTAATCTCCTACTCCAATTTTCAACCCTAGCGTCTAGCCTCCAACAGCCCGCCGCACAACCCGCTGCCGTCCTGCCGCCGCCACCGCGCCGCCGCCTAGAGCTACTGTCGTACCACAGCCCAGCCATACAGCCGCCTGCTCGCCATCAGCTGCACATGCTTGCTTCCTCGGTAAAGCCCGCGCTCGCCTCCTCCGCCCAGCCCATGCTCGCCTCTTCCATCCGCCTCCTTGGTCTAGCCTGCACTTGCTGCCGCCGTTGTCCAGCCTATGCTCGCTGTGCGCCGCTGTCGTCCTGAGCCGTGGGCGCCGCCTCCATCCCGATTCATGCTCGTCAACATCGCCCCCAGCCCTGAGCGTTGCCGTCCTCGTCTCCGTCAGATTGCACTCGATCCAACTCGCTGCCGCTCAGCCGCGCCCCTCTGCCGCTCCTACTACTCAGCTTTTTCAGTCAAGGCGGCCAAGGTTGATGGCGAACCGAGGTTGAAGGCGAACCTAGGTTGAAGACGATGAAATAAGTGTGCAATGAATAATTTATATTTAATGCCGTGAACATGACAAGAAGCGCAATGAGTTATGACAAAACGTGCAATGATATGGCAAGAAGTGCAATAATGTAAAAAGTGCAATGACATGAAAAGAAGTGCATTAAAAATGACATGAAAAAATATCTATAAATTCATAGCATTATACTATCGTATGTAATATTAACCAAATGTAAGAACTAAAGTTATGAAATCTAAAAAACGCTAAATTCGTTTTATGTAATGTTATGTCGTGCAGTGAATACAACCATAAAGTGCAATAAATGTAGTGCAATAACGCCTTCATGAAGTGCAATATTTTTACCCGGACGAAATTGGTGTAAAATGCATATTTTTTAAAAAAGGGTATTTTTGTCCTTCCACAATTTAATAAAACGAAAAAATCTTTTTTTTTTCGATTTTTGGTCATATTTCGAGAAAAAAACATAACTAGTCACATTTCGAGAAACTCACTTTGTTTTAGTCATATCCCGGGAATTTTTCCTAATATCTAAAATATTTTATAATTGAATAAAGATTAAAATAAAAAAATTAAGAAAAAGAAAGAAGTAAAGAAGGAAAAACGTAAAAGCAAATATCAATCTGGCCGGCCGCAATTCAATCTGGAAATCAACCTCCAACGGCAACAAAGCAGGTATGGCGGTTTCCTTCTCTCCAACACACCATCATCCCGGCAATGAAATAACAACAGCGGCCAATTCAACTATTCTTCACAATCGTCTGACTGAGTGTAATAGATTAGCAACACCAAATCGGAAAAGCAAGGAAATAGAAAAGCAAAAAAGAAAAACGGAAAAGGTGAAACCAATGAGCGCACCTCAGATGCAGACTCGGCGATAGCCTGGGTATATTTTACCATTCTCAACGGCGGGGGGAATATAACTAAGCATTCAAACTCTTCACTGTTGGATTAACTCTTTCCCGCCACAGCATAACAAGATTAGTAGATAGTTGGCTCACAATTAGTTAGCAAGTTAGTTAATCAAATCATTGCATAAATAACAGCAAAACTGTAATTCTCACTCATTCTTCTTCCCTACATATACGGTTGTTACTCGCACTACTTCAGTTCGTGTGCTACAACATTTCTCCTCTCTCTTGCACTTCGATGACGGACACTATTCACGACATCGCGTAGGAGATATCATTCCAGAGCTTCTGCAGAGCCTTCTCAACGTTGTGCTTCACAGGGAGTTATGGAGAAATCTGAACCGACTAGCTCTTCTGCTCAGGTATGGCAATATGCCTTTTGTTTTCAATCCGTGGTTGCATTGTTGCTATCTTCCTCACTCTGGATCAGTTATTATATGCCGAAGTTCATCTGGCTCCTGCTTACGCATTAATCAGTAATTTTGTTGTTGTTGTCGAATAAGACTGCTAATAACTATTACTATCTCTGTACGTATGTTAGCAAATAGCATGATTGATTTAAATTGTTCGAGTTTATATATGGATCGCCGCATGTGTATGTGTTTTCCACTTTGCGTATGTGATCAATTGCTATATTGCTCATATCTGCTATGTTTAGCTTCTGCTACGAGGGATATACGTCACAATCATAAGTATTACTCTCTATTTTGACCGGATCTATAATGTACAACATATATATGCAAATCGTACTGGTTGATAAGTCCATGGACTTGAGGCTACTCATTTGACCGTGTATTTCAGCCTTGCTTTCACAGCCTAGCATCCAGTTATTTGCCTCAACTTTTACATGTTTACAATTCACTTCCTAGCCTACTGCATTTGGTGCCTACTTACGGATCTATATATCCTTATTTTTACTGTAGTTCATTAGGAATCAGCACGTCACTTCACTCTGATGCCATTACAAACTACCTAAACATAGGAACATATCATCTGTGGGAGAGGCCTTTAGTCCCTCCAACTAAAAAGGTGGCATGCTTGCATCACATTGAAATGGATAAGTTTGTGCCATAATCTGTTTATATTATCATTGACATGCATGCTTGTATATCATCACTTAATTATACTGTGACAGATTTATGTCCCCAAGAATTGACCTTTGACCCGTGTTGGTGATTGAATTCTAAATCTCAGGGAACTAAACGTAAGCATGATTATGACAGTGACTCAGATGGGGGGAGGGGGATACAGCGGACTATACGTTCTCTACCGTCAAGTTCAAGTGATGAAGATCCGATGATGGAAATGGAACACACCATTCCAGTTTATAAAAGGAAATTCCGGCATGTGGAAAAAGAAAAAGTTGCTGATATCAATTTGGTGGGAGTAAGGGGTTTCAGTTCGTTTGCAAGGAAAGTATCTGGTGCGGCTGGACGTCAACCATCTGTTACTTCCCATGTGGCTTGGCCCTGGAAGGGTTTTGATGCTAAGTATCTCAAGAAGGGAGGTGCCGAGTTGAACCCGCTTCTGATTTCCTGGACAGACTTTGTTTCAGATATTGATCACATTTTGATGGATGAAAATTGGCAATTCTGTGGTTTCGAAATTCCTGTAACATTCAAGCGGAAAACTGGTTTAGTACTGATAAACTCCCACATGTTACTTCTTGATTCCCTGATAAAAGACAGGGAATGTTTCACTCAGGCTCTCCACTATCTCTGGGCAACGTGGAGCGGAAATGAACCTGGCTTGGGAGCAGAAGATGATGAAATAGCTCCAGGTTGTGATTTAATTTTCACAGCTGCCGGAGAAAAAATCACAGAGTTACCCAAAGATGAACCAGGTTGGAGAAGGGTTCAAACCTTCGTATTCTGATGATTGAACATTTCATGAGATAAGGGAGCAAAGTAGTTGAAGGTTTAGCTAGAAGAGCAAATTCAGATCCACTTCTTAAAATCTCACTATCCCAGCAGCGTCCCCGCCATATGTCCAACCTCCACAACCAGCTAAAACTGTTCTGAAATTGTTTTCAGTAGCCTTTGCTTTCTTTGTATTTTTTCCTATGACTTTGTTATTGTTTAGATCTAAAAGCATTATAGTTGGAACCTGTTCTACTATATTTCATGTTTTTGTTTTGATCTGAGTGCAGCATTTGTAATAAAAAGGTTGATAGATGAGTACCAACACTAATGTTTGAGCTTTCTCCAGACAGAAATTTGTGGTCTTGCTCGGTTCAACTTAAGGCAAATAACGTAAAACCACATAGGAAAATCATATGATTCACCTATGATCGGAGATAGTATTTATTGGCAATTGGTCTGGAAAATCAAGGTTTCTTTAGTGTATTCCTATAGAGTGTAAATTATATCCTCAATTGTTATTTCCCAACTAATCTTGCCTTTTCATAACCATGAGACCAGTGGCGGACCCAGAAAATCGGAACCACGGGGTCCTTATCCTTTTATATCGCTAATCTCTAATTATTATAAAATTAATAAAAAAAATATCAAAGAAGCATAACACTTCAAAGTTAACATACACCATCAAAACATTAATATATTATATATAAAGCAAAAAATTACATATAAAAATTATTCAACAATTCTACAGATGTACCCTCCTAGACTTCATTTGTTGGAAATATTCTACGGAGTATAATGCAATCATCACTAATAGTACCAAAAACACCTCTCTCAACATATGTAACTAAGCAATCATTCAACCATTGAATGTAACTACGACGTACCTCATCTTGAACATTAGGGTGAAAATCAGCAATTCTTTTTCTCAATCTAGGATCAGCTTCCAAAGATTCAAAATCCTCATGTTGTTCAGGTAGATTATAAGTCAAATTAGCTTCACTTTCAGCATTTACTTGATCCAATTCTTCATTTACTAATGACGAATCGTTTGAATTAACACCTGAACTACTCCCGGTACTCTGAGTTTCTTTAAATTTGGGTACAACATTAAAATATCTTTTCATCCTAAATCATATAAAATCGAAAATAAAATTTATAAATACATGAATTTATTAATTTAATCAAACATTTAAAAAAAAGCAAAGCAGCAAAGGAAATAATAAAAAACCTAGTGGGATTAGAACGTAGCAAAGCAGCAAAAAAAACTAAATACGAATTTATTAATTTAAAACAAAGACGTAGGTTTGGTCTATTAAATTAATAGTTGTTTTGCAAAAGAGAACCCAAAGGGATTCGAACGTTGTACCTTGCAACTTAGAAAGCTTAAATTCTGCCCATCCACCCATTAACCTACTCCGTTGCTTTGAAACCTAGGTCGTGTTGTTTGTATAAATATACATTCAAAACTAATTTTATGTAATATATATAATATATATAGGATTTTTTTTCGAGATTCACGGGTCCCGGGACCCCGTGGGACCCTTAGTGGGTCCGCCCTTTGACCGTTAAATAAGATGTATTACAAAACCAATAAAGCTAACTACAGTCCACACAAATTTTATTAGGATTGATCTTGAAAGTCTGATTTTTATTTTGTGTGTAAAAGTTATATCATCTGTATTATAGGTTAATTGAAAGTTTGACACTCCAAATTCGAGGTGATACTATTGAGTTCTCAAGCAGCATGAGATGCTAAACAGTTTTTTAAGCCAAAATAAATTAGGTTTAAGATGCTGTGCATGTATTGGAAGTTAGAGTAAGTGCAGTTGGCTGTTGTGTTTTGTCCCCCCACTCAGAAGATGCCATTAAGACCATAATGATTAAATATTTAAAATGATTGGCATGTTGAAGTAATTGACTCACATGTTAAATGGTCTGCAATAAGCTAATCTTCTACAGCCAATAAGGATAAAACACACACCAGGCCGCAGTTCAAGGGTCAATACCAGACTGACACCAATCCTTAAAGTGTCATTTTTCACATAGAATGGCAATTCCCAGCAAAAACGAATAGCAGAAGCCTGAGACTATGCTTTTAGACTGATGCAGTCTTGTCTCCCTACTACCCAATTTCAGTTCAATTCCGTTTGGAATGCAGAATATGCTAGGGAAAGAAAAGGAGAAAAATAAAATAAAAAATTTGAAGGGGAGAAAGCAAATCATTGGTTCAAAGCGGTAGATCTATTTTTTAATACTTGTTCTAATTCATTTCATTCATTCATATTCTATTCATCATTCTCACTTACCCAGTGCCACAAAGGCTCCCACCTATGGTGAGGTAAGGGGGTAGGATGTACTAAAGCACATAGAGACTATTTCTGGATGACCCATAGTGAAAATCACGTCCAGAATTGCATGGACTAATTAGTGAGCCTTTTCAAATATATGTTAAATACTAAAGATCCTAATCAAATTTTCATTTCGCTAGCATTTTCGGAGATCCAAACATAGCCTCATTGAATAGTTCAAAGATAAAACAGTCAAATTGTGATAATGAGAGTATAAATCACTCAAATATACAGATCTCCCATTTCAGCCCATTTTTTATTTTAACCAATTGATCTGAAAAAGTTATGCAAAAGGGAGAAGGGACAAAAATTGACCCTAAGGTTTGTAATGAATCTTGTGTTGGACTTTTGATGGACCAAATAAACACAGATTCAAGGTTATGTACTTATATGAAACCACTGATGTGCTTCTATTTTACACACTTTTAGGCTTAATTTGTTAATAAATTTAGTTATCGAAGTTGTATTTTTGTACATATTTTTATCATTTGTGTTGGGTGTGTATTTCAGCTCAGGTCTCCAACCAAGACAACTCACACACACCACCCCAGAATGTTTAGCCACCCCATCACTCTCCAAGCTTAACCTCTCACACCTCTCTAGCTCCCACACAAGGAAGCTTTACAAGAAGAAGAAAATCAGCCCACACACTCACTGTTTTGGTACCTCACGAAGAAGACCAGGACTGATGGCCAGCTCTAGGTTCACTCATACACTCAATGTATTTGTTGCACCCTTCAGGAAAGGGGCTACACTCTGACTTATACAAGTCACAAGGCTTGAAGACAAAAAGATACAGGGAGGCACCAAACAAAGCAACGGATAGAAAACCAAGTGGCCAAAGGCCAGTTCAATAAGTGAGTAACCGGATAGGTTATTTGCCAGAGAGAAAAACATTAAGGGCTAAAGAGGAGTAGGGTTAAACTTAGGGTGCAAGCCTTAGTTTGTATTAGTACGGTTCTATGCGTGTATTTTTTATTTACAAATACATGTGAGCATGAATAAAAGAAGAAAATAAAAGTTAACGTTGATGAATGATGATTAATAAAAGATTAATTTCCTTGAAAGCAAATATGAAGAAAAATGTGGAAAAGAGAAGAAATTTGAAAATGGTATTCTATTTTTATGAAATAAAGCACCAAAGTTCGAAATACTTTGTGTTTCATTCCTCTTCTTAATAAACCTTCTAATCATAAAAGAGGTATTCTACTAGCATATTCTGAATGAATTTCATTTTCGAATTTTCGATAGCCTACTTTATCTAAACTGTCCTTATAAGTGACGAGTAACACTAACTCATTAAGCAATTTTTTGTAGCATTGTAGAATGCAAGTGGGATTTCATCAGTTTCAAGAATCTTCATCCTTCTATATGTACTTTTATTGTGTATAAATATTATAATTTCAGTATTTTCAAGCCTTATAAATCTGTAGGCCAAGTAGTGCTGCCTCTCTCGACCAAATCAGAAAATGTAAACCTATGTATAGTCATACAAGACGTTAGACTACTATAACCATCTCTCGTCGAGATGGTTCAGTCCTCACAATGTTGCACACCCGAAACAAGTTTTTGGATATGTTGCAGGGTTTGTTAAATTTGTTCGGGTTTTTAAGTTGGGGGAATGTCATGGTGTGTCAAGAAGAGGGGGCCCGTGGTGCAAGTTGTGGCAGCCATGATCAGGAACGGATCCAGGATTTGGAGTCAAGGGGGTGAAATTTTTTCGATAGTGTAGGGAGTGATATATTTTTTTATTAGTGTTGTGGGACGAAATTTTTTCGCTAGTGCAGCGGAGCAATTTTTTTCGCTAGTGTAGAGCTTTGCGCTTATTTTTTATTCAAAAAAATTCTATTAATACATACAGGACAACATTTATATCTGTTGGAAAATGTGTTGAAAATTGCATTAGATGGTAATTTTGGGGTAATTTTGAGTGGGATCCGCTTCCGATTTGGGTCGGGTCAAAGTGGTTTCGGATTGTCCTTGTTAAGAGCTACAATTCGATATATGGTACACTCAAAACGGATAACGGGTAAATGAGAAATCGATTCTCGAAGTTTACCAGTTAGAAAGGAAAAACTGAGAAAAATGATGAGTTTCTAGTGTGTTATTTCCCACACCGGAAAACCCAAGGGATTTGCAACACTTTATAAAGGGAAACCCCCCTCAGGGAGTTAAGATTCCTAAGGGTAAAGGTTCCCTCACGCGCGCAAGAGGTGCAAATCAAATACCGAAATCGGAGAAGAAAAACCGCGACTTGCGAGCGCGGGCGACCTGCGGACACGAATGTCGTCCAAAACGAATGGGTAATGTGAAATTCTTATTCCTATATCCTGAAATTTTTGGCTGAGCCATGTCAAATAGGCAAAGAGTTCAACTAACATAGTTATCACATCTAAGCATCTCCATTTTGTACAAAGAGTTCAACTAATTTAGTTATAACATTTCAACTAACAAGTTAAATGTTTAGTTCTTCAAAAAAGAAAACTAAATTGGGTATAGTCTTTAGAAGTTTTCTCATTTTTCCTATAAAAATTAGTTTTGCAGAAAAAAGGTTTTCTTATATTAAGCTTCTATGCTTGGGTTATTACTCTTCTTTAAGTTTTACATGGTCTTCTTCAAGCTTAAAGGTTTTCTTATTTTAAGCTTCTAAGGTTGACTTCTGAGTCTTCTTTTATGTTTTAAATTTCTTTGTCTTATTTCTCATTTTCTGAATTCTTTACTCTTAAGACTTAGAAGTTGTGAGTTTGTCTTTTAAGCTCCAGTAGAAAAAATAACAATGTGTTGAAATACAAATTTTGAAGAGGCTATTAACAGTTAAAGTTCAATGCTCTGCGCAAACATACACTACATGTTATTTGTCTACTTCAATCTGTTCGTACTTAATTTTAATCTGGAAAGAAGTTTCCAGTGTGGAAGTTTATGATTTCTTCCACACTGGATTTGCTGAGTAGTATTTTCTTCCGATGCGGGGCATTACTATTTACATGTGGTTTTATTCTTCATTGACCTTGAAGAGAATATTGTTGGGGTTTACCATCCTCTTTAAGGGTGCATCAGGTTTGCTATTTATCACTCATGTTTGTAGAAATGTTAGATGTGAATTATATAGGGATTGTGATTTGGAGATTCAGCAGCTTTAGGTCATTGGAATGTTTGATCTTAGATCAAACACATGCATTTCTAAGTACACAGGTTCATGAGCTTTTTGCGAGTTCCAACCAACTCCATTAAAATCATATTCCCTCCGTCCCATAAAACTCTTCTGACTTACCATTTTGGGATGTCACAAAAAAATCTTTCCATTTCCCTTTTTAGAAATTGAAAAATACTAGCAGTTTAAAATGAATCAGGTAGATTAACGTATCCATTTCTTTGTTGATTTTCTTTCAGACGGAGTTTCAATGTATTTACAATCTTTGAGTTGGATCGGTTTAATTTTAAACATAATTTCTCTGATTTATTATTAACACTACCTATCCTCCCCTCCCCATTTAATCATTTTTTAAACGGCATGGCGGGTCATTCTGAAGCAAAATGATATTTCTAGCATTAGTATTTTTAGTATTCTCAAGTGGTAGCATGTGCATTAAAAACGCATAGTGAACACTTTTGGTTTAGTCTTTTGACGTATCATTGTGTGGTTAACTACACCAAATATTATTTTCCAGTGTGTTTAGGTTTTATTTTTGCAAAAAGATATCCTTTAGAAAATAAGACGCCTTAATTATTTATAAACTTTGTGTATTTTTTGTTCTGTAACTGATATGGACTACAATTTACACTAAAACGGAAAATGCATTAGTGATACATATATACTTTTGGGTTAGTTTAGGAGTTTCTCCAAACTAAGTATTTATATGATAAATGACTGATTACTGATTAGTATTGCTGATATATGTATATGAGATATAACTGACTCGAGGAATGATCCTGTCCAGCCGGAGGGACAGGATCTGGCCGCCGCGGTTTGGGGCGGTTCCCGGTGGAGTTTTTTGATGAAATTTTTATGGAATGTTCCTCATCAAGTCTAGTTTATCCAAAAAAACAATTCAGCTAAAAATTCGATCGGGAAGACACTTCAATTAATTTTATAATTGAAGTGCTCTAGAAAAACGTATTAATACATTAAAGAGTAAGAAGTTACAAGTCAATGGAAATTATTTGAAAAATAAAAAAGGATACATAACATTTTATCAAATTATTTTAAGATAAAGAGTTTAAAAGGTACATATTCACCAATACTTATTAAATAACTTATTACTTGTTTAACCACATGAATCTTATCGTAATAAAGAAAGAATTGATTTTTGAATTGCGTTTTTTGTCTATCAAGGATGGTTTCGTGAGTTTAATTGTATAAATTACATTATAACAAATTAACAACATTAACTAAATCAATAAATACACAATTATAAATTTACAATATAATTAACATTTTAATGAGATTATCACAACATAATTCCGAGAAACTTCAACAATGTATTTGAATTTAACAAATAAAAGTATACAACAACTAACATTTTATTTGAATTAAACAAATACGAGTACAATTCAACAAATAAACAATTTTAAATGAAAATTAACAGAAAAACAATTAGGTTAAGGCATGCCTTAAAAGGCTTACCAGGAGTCCAACTGTCCAGGAGTCTAGAGACGGTCGTGCCTTCGTCCACTCATCTGGGCTCTGTCAGTGAACAGTCTGATGATTCCAGTCGTCCGTCACTGCCTCGGTGAGATGCTCTTTCAATCTCTGTCGCTAATTGCCAATTTGCTATTCCTAGTTCGGTTGTTCCTACGCGTTGGCTCGCTGCTGTAGCTTGAATGCAGGGTCAGGGGATTGACTTAGGACTTGGGGTCTTGTTTGCTGTCTTGGCCTTTTGGCTTTTGGGGAGTTGGGCTGCGGGCTGCACCAGGGAAGAGTTTTTGTGATTGGGCTGCAGGGGCTCTACTAATTAAATATTAATATATATACATATATTATAAAAAAAGAAAAATTACTGCAGGGGCACGGGCAGCTCCGGGCACTATGGTGATTTCGCCCCTGATATATCAGTAGGTAAAATTCTACTCATGAGCCTTTAATGTTCAAACCTAGAATTGTACTAAAGTTCAACAAAGGATTAAAGAGTAAATGATGTCCATTACTAAAAATTACATATTCCATTAGCAATGCAAAAGAGGCATTACAAGTTTGGTTACACCAGATCACAACTAAAGCAATCCACTCCACTATTATATGCACATCTTTTTTTAAAGTGCACAAAAATCATACCAACTAAACCAACTACAACAATGAAAACAAAACCCACTGAATGCCTAAACTTTCTGTGTTCCTTGGCTTCATTTTCAACGAGCTTTGTAAGATAAGCTATTTGTCCTTTACAGCACTGCGTTCAACGTTTGCAGTAGTCATGAACCTCACATTCTCTGCATTTTTGTTTATCTCCTCTCCATGATGTGTGCCTATGGTCTCCATGTCATCTTTTCACACAAAAAATCTACATCCCTTGTTAACCTGGAATTCAAAGTCACGTATGTAAAAATTACAATTAATACACTTCATTAATTAAATTATTAATTCACATAGTCAATTCCAATTTTACCACAAAATGCACTCCCTAAACCCAGGTGAACAAATTTGGCTATGGCGGAATTTCTTACCCTCAAAATTCTTTTAAGAAGGGAAACAATTAAAATTGGAAGAATGGCAAAACTAGAAGAAGGGCAACAATCAATACAGTTGTAGGTATATTACCTTCCATATTTGACAACCATAGAAACTCCTCCCACTTTCGCGTACGACACACAAGGGGGATATCAATCCACATAGACAATACACAGGCGGCTTGTAGACAAGAGTAGAGCTTCTTCCTTTAGCGGCAGTAGATGCGGATGAAGATGACATCTGCTTTCGTATGAAGACGACTACTTTTACGACCTATGGAGGAAGAAGACTCAGACATGCGTTTGGGAATGCTTTTAAGATGATAAGAAGATAATTCCAACAAATATATCAACAAATATTAAAGAATT